TTAGCATGAACTTGAAGAACTGCTGTGATGAGAGAACTAAGAACCTTGCCGTGGCCTCGTTCTGTACGTGTGTGTGTTTCGCTGCTGGTGCGCCAGCCGGAACAGTTCAAAATATAGCCCTTTCTGAGAGCACGGACATCGACCTCTCAGTCGGGTATTACTCTGAGATGGTGAAAACGGTAGCAGGTATCGTCGCAGCAATCTTTTTTCACCCAGTCTACCAACTGATTGGGATCAAAGTCACTGCACTGCTGTCCACTGTTCTGGTGACTGGCAACTACTGGGTGATGATATGGATTGTGAATAAGTATATGATATACTTGTGGCCCATGGTTGTGATTGCAAATTCAGCAAGAGAAATCACAGAAGAATATGGGTTACTGGTTTATGGCAAAGTCTAGCGGAACTGTGATGGGGGGATTGGCAAACTACTTTTACTTCGAAGGAGTGACAAAGATATCCTCAAAAAACAGGGTCATTATCTACACAATCTGCGCAGGTGTTACCTTGTTTGCTAGTCTTGTAGCTGCATTTGGGATCACTGACAGTGACATAAAGAAAAGCGCAAAACGACATCAACCACTAAGAGATGAAGATATTGAAACCGTCCCCCGGGATGATTTCGACGAAATTACATACTCCACCAAGGGAGGGGAAGCAGATGTGAATGTTATGATGCCTGGGAAACCATATGGAGTGAATAAAGTCAAAGATTGGTTCAAAGTCATGATTAAGAAAGCTGGATTGAAAGAAGGTCTCGATTGGTTCACAGTTATGGCGAGGATTCCTGAATTCTGGCTTCTGCTCATTCCTCTTATCTACTGGGGATTTATATGGGGATACTTCATAAAGATACTTCCTACAGCTACAGCATCCATTTCCGACAAAAGAAACCTTATTCCTCTTACATCTGTAATACATGGGGTATGTTCCCTAGTTGGATCGACAACTTGGAACCTTCTCTCAAAGATCACCAACAACATTTGTTGCATCGTGTTTGCTTCAGCGATGCTCTTGGCATCACTCATACTTTCTATATTGATCTTCCCCAAAGGTGCAGCCTCGGAGATTTTGGCGCTTGGTTCAACTGAGACCTACATCACAATTCACACCTGACTCCATTCACGTTGTTGTGATCTGTGCTTTGATTGGGCTAGCTGACAGTGGAGTGAGCATCATTTACTATACAACAGCTGGACGGATTTACGGAGACGAGCCAGCTCTAGGGTATTCTACCAACGCCATTGGTTTCTATTTATTCTACACGTGTTCCATGTTTTCTCCTTCCCTATTTGATCTCCACATCTTCTGCTACTGTATGATCGCATCAGTTGTTGCAATGTGCCTTGTATTTCCCTTCGGACTGAGAAAATACCTTTAGAAGTCGATAATAGGTTTGATTGACGATGCCAATCCTTCGCAGCTCGGTGTGGCCCATAGTACTGTCTAGCTCGGTCACCGAGTTGGTAGCTAGAGCCCTTTTACCGCCGGACGGCGGGCGCCCCACTGCAAGGACTCTTGTTAGAGCAAATAATTTGGAGAAGATATGTTTGGCTAGCCATAATTTTTATTAACGCCTTTTAATTCACGTTGTGAATAATTTCATTATTTCATTTGCATGCTAATTGCTATATGGATTTTACAGAACCCATATAATTTGGATTGGAATTCCTTTACAGGTAAGATTAAGACCGACCGTGTCAACTTGTCTTTTTAAATATTTAAGTCTTTATAATATAGTACGCGCTGTGTACCACACTGCCAAAGCCAGAATTTCAAAGGTTTCATAAATTTCAATAATATAATAGTGCTCAGTTTGCCGAAGACAAACATTTTTGGGGGGGGGGGGGGGGTCGCCCCTGCTTATAATGGTTCTATTTTTGATCAATTATTGCTGTACTATGTAAAATTTGAAAAGTATTCAATAAAACAGTAACCAAAGTAACAACAGTAACAACAGTAACCAAAGTAACCAAAATAACCAAAGTAACCAAAGTAACCAAAGTAACCAAAATAACCAAAGTAACCAAAGTAACCAAAGTAACCAAAGTAACCGAAGTAACTAAAGTAACCGAAGTAACCAAAGTAACCAAAGTAACCAAGGTACCCACAGTAACCACATTATGATAAAACTATGAAGAGTTATATATATAATATTGTGTTTGAGACGAGAATAATGTAATTTACAAATATTTAGTCGTCAATAAACGGTAGTTGTCTCATCCAAGAAATTATTCAACATCATCCTTTCAATTTTAATTATCAGCCGTAAACTTGTTAGTAAATTAGTTTTAATTTGCAATGAACAAACTCAACCAGTGTCAAAAGGTAAGTGGCTTGTAATATGGCTAATTAATTTTGTTAAACACTTTGTCATAATTAAAATTAAAGTGGCGAATGAAAACGACCGCACAATATCATTTCCAATTACAAAAGCACTAAGAACGTTTCTTCAGGCACGGCTAAATAATACTACTCTACTAAGTGGGTAAGAGTTTGGTTTAAAAGCAGCTTAACCTTGACTTTAAAAGCACTCCAAACTCTGTGGCAGAATCTGTGGCAGAGTCTGTGGCAGAGTCTGTGGCAGAGTCCGTGGCAGAGTCTGTGGCAGAGTCCGTGGCAGAGTCTGTGGCAGAGTCTGTGGCAGAGTCTGTGGCAGAGTCCGTGGCAGAGTCTGTGGCAGAGTCCGTGGCAGAGTCTGTGGCAGAGTCTGTGGCAGAGTCTGTGGCAGAGTCTGTGGCAGAGTCTGTGGCAGAGTCCGTGGCAGAGTCCGTGGCAGAGTCTGTGGCAGAGTCTGTGGCAGAGTCTGTGGCAGAGTCTGTGGCAGAGTCTGTGGCAGAGTCTGTGGCAGAGTCTGTGGCAGAGTCCGTGGCAGAGTCCGTGGCAGAGTCTGTGGCAGAGTCTGTGGCATAGTCTGTGGCATAGTCTGTGGCAGAGTCTGAGGCAGAGTCTGTGGCAGAATCCGTGGCAGAGTCTGTGGCAGAGTCTGTGGCAGAGTCTGTAGCAGAGTCTGTGGTAAAGTCTGTGGCAGAGTCTGTGTCAGAGTCTGTGGCAGAATCTGTGGCAGAGTCTGTAGCAGAGTCTGTGGTAAAGTCTGTGGCAGAGTCTGTGGCAGAGTCTGTGGCAGAGTCTGTGGCAGAGTCCGTGGCAGAGTCTGTAGCAGAGTCTGTGGCAGAGTCTGTGGCAGAGTCCGTGGCAGAGTCTGTAGCAGAGTCTGTGGTAAAGTCTGTGGCAGAGTCCGTGGCAGAGTCTGTAGCAGAGTCTGTGGTAAAGTCTGTGGTAGAGTCTGTGGCAGAGTCTGTGGCAGAGTCTGTGGCAGAGTCTGTGGCAGAGTCTGTGGCAGAGTCTGTGACAGAGTCTGGGCAGAGTCTGTGCAGAGTCTGTGGCAGAGTCTGTGGCAGAGTCTGTGGCAGAGTCTGTGGCAGAGTCTGTGGCAGAGTCTGTGGCAGAGTCTGTGTCAGAGTCTGTGTCAGAGTCTGTGGCAGAGTCTGTGTCAGAGTCTGTGGCAGAGTCTGTGGCAGAGTCTGTGGCAGAGTCTGTGGCAGAGTCTGTGGCAGAGTCTGTGGCAGAGTCTGTGGCAGAGTTTGTGGTAAAGTCTGTGGCAGAAACGGTGGTAGATTATGTGGTAAAGTCTGTGGCAGAGTCTGTGTCAGAGTCTGTTGCAGAGTCCGTGGCAGAGTCTGTGGCAGAGTCTGTGGTAAATTATGTGGTAAAGTCTGTGGCAGAGTCTGTGGCAGAGTCTGTGTCAGAGTCTGTGTCAGAGTCTGTGGCAGAGTCTGTGGCAGAGTCTGTGTCAGAGTCTGTGGCAGAGTCTGTGGCAGAGTCTGTGGCAGAGTCCGTGGCAGAGTCTGTAACAGAGTCTGTGGTAAAGTCTGTGACAGAGTCTGTGGCAGAGTCTGTGGCAGAGTATGTGGCAGAGTCTGTGGCAGAGTCTGTGGCAGAGTCTGTGGCAGAGTCTGTGGCAGAGTTTGTGGTAAAGTCTGTGGCAGAGTCTGTGGTAGATTATGTGGTAAAGTCTGTGGCAGAGTCTGTGGCAGAGTCTGTGTCAGAGTCTGTGTCAGAGTCTGTGGTAAAGTCTGTGGCAGAGTCTGTGTCAGAGTCTGTGGTAAAGTCTGTGGCAGAGTCTGTGGCTCTAGTGGTAAGAACGCTCGTTTCATTTGTACTAAGCCCCTTATTACTTATAGTTAATATGTGTGTGGTGAACTCCTCCAGGATACTGCTATGTGTATTTTAAAGACGTGTCTATTAATCGTTTTTTACGTGTATTATCAGACCCCAAATAGTGAATGGCGAGAATGTTTAAATATAGTATCACTATGAGTATGAATTGCGCTGTTTGAGATGTTAGAACTTCATCTCAGACGGAACATGTGACTCTTATCACGTGTTGCTCTCTTAACATGTACTGGCTCGCTGCTCTGACTTATCACTACCGAACTTGATGTCCTTTGTGTGTTTGCGCTGCTACTTCGCTACTCTCTATTTCGTTTTAATCAAAAATCATGCTTCTTATCAAATTCTTGCTATTTGAATAATGTCTTTAAGAAAGTGCTTTATGTTGAAAATTGGGATATCACACCCGAATAAATCACAGTAGGAATAAGTTGTGTCGCGAGCTCGGATGAATATATTCTGTTATCTTAGAAATTGAAACCCAAAATAAACCCTTGCCATCGCCATGGCAACATATTATGTGACACTTACAGCCTTACTGTAAGGGTATTTTCGATATTGCTAGCCCTGGTAAGTACATTTGTGACGACCTGATTACTATTTGTTGGTTTTCGATAGGTGACAACTTTTATTGCACCGCACAAAAATAGGCGGCCATTTTTGTGCGGCCATTCATAAGATTCAGCCGAATTTTAATTAAGATTTAGAAATACGCACGATGTTCAGTTACTCCAGTAGCAGAGAGGGGATGTTCAGTAGATATGTGGTAAAATCATTTAATGCTTCAATATTTGATTAGTAGGCTAAGCTTTGTTCCGTTTGTACACTATAAAATTATTAGTTCAGATCATGAATACTCGAAAGCGAGGATATACAACGTGGGCCAATCTTCGCCTTAAGTCTAAAAACCTTCAGGTAACGGTATATATACAACAACATCACATTTACATTTTACACACACACCTTCAGGCAACCATGGTAACGGTCTAGATACAACAAAATTATTCATCTCATTCACACACAAGATAATTAAATAATTTCATGATTCAGAAATAAAACTGCAAAATTTGAAAGTATGAACTACGTTTACAAGAGTTCATTAGAGATAAAAAGAGTTGAATAAAAAGTTTGACCCAGTCCCATAAGTTAGTGTTAACTGTTTATGCTTTTGATGGTGTCATAATGAATCAGTGTCACCACAATACCATTACATTACCACTACACAACTGCATAACTATGACGTCATTACTATCACGTAACTACTATGACGTAATTACTATGACGTAATTCTGTTGAATCGACATTACTTGCCACTGAATGTGCTGGTTAACTTTATAAGTGGATACATTTGTTATTTTTCAATTTGTTGCCATGTTTTGACTTAGTGTTTTCAGTTGAACAATGTATTTTTTGAGCTGTACAAGGGAACGAACATGAAAACGTTCGTAGAATCACTGATTGGAAAAGAGGTCAAGAAGTTAAAAGGCTGGGAAAATCTCTCCAGTGCACAGGTACAGTGCGTTATTGTGTGTGTTTACTGTTGCTGTATAATATATATCATCATTTAAAACTTATAAAACGTTATTACGATATGAGCTAAGACAAATGGACTATATCTCTCCGAGAAGGGCCGTCAAAAAGTTGTTAAATAATGCAATGTTCACAAGCTCATTCATCCATTATAAAAGTATAAAGACTGCCTAATTTCAGCAAGTAACAAGAGTTGAGTGGATAGTGGACGAACTGAAAGAGGCGGGAGTTCTCAAGAACTCGTTCTACTGCGAGTACCCAGCTCTGGGGCGTGGCTCGTATGATGAGGCTGAGTGGTTTCTGTGGTGCATGGTCAAAGCTGACATTTACAGGTACAACTGCACAAGGCTGGCCTACCAGCTTTAATCAATTATAATTAAGGGCCAAGGGGGTTTAGTCCGCTAATTATAATTAAAGGAGTTTAGTCCGCTAATGAACAACAAGGCTTGTCATTTAACATGTTGTAATAAACAAACTTTTCAAAGCGTGGTAAATAATAATAAATCTACACGCCATAAACAGAACTTTCAATTTAAGCTTATTCGACAAATTTTCTATAAAATGATTTGATAAAATCTTAATCATGAAACGTCGAACAGTTTTAACGATAAAACAGAAAATTTGAAATGATTAGTTTCGTAGAATAAAACGGTACAAATAATTGTTTTTTTAACCAATATCTCTTTTTCTCGCAAAGTGTTTGAGATCACACTTTCTTATTTCAGAGTGTTTGAGAACACACTATCTTATTTCGAGGACAACACGCTACTTCTCAACAGCCCATATTCCTACTACTTCAAAGAGGAGGATACCGACCCTGTCCCTAAAGGGAGAAGTCTCTTCGCTAAGTAAATCTTAACCTTTCTTACACTATAGTTTTAATATTAGTGGAACAATGAACCCATTTTGGAGCCATTTTTCCGAGGCCGAATAAAGGAAAGTCTTGTTTATTTATCTTTATCAATCTGACAAACTGATTTTTATAAGTTAATAGTTTTATGGGATATAGTTATTAATGATATATATAAATGATATGTATACAGTACCTAATTAGCTACGTGGGACACATTAAACGCATATTTGGATATATAGAAAACGTTCTTGAATGAAATCCTGCGTAATCTTGTGAGCATACCGACGGTTCTTCACAATTTGAAATAAGCTTAAAGCAAGCTGAGCGCCGCTCAATAGCAAACGGCAAACTCTGGAAACGAACAGGTAAGTTTGTAAAGAGTCTGCCACCTGCCACTTTATCCAAATTATCAACGCTCTCTTATTAGCTGAATTGGACAGGTCTATCAGCCCCGTCTCTAGTCAGCACAATGAAGTGCTGCACAGAGGTCACCAGATGCTGCTTCAATAGTCTCCGCATCTTAAGTTGTTATTGTAAATTTAGGGTTTATATCTTTTGACATGGGATGCCTTGAGAACGTAAGCAGTAAATTTAATAATTGTTCACACATCACTCAATTTAGTGCAGAAGTTTCTCGCATGATATCGAAAACTATTTAGTGTTAGATAGCGCTATAACTTAAGAACGACAAATTTAGTCATCCACAAATTTAGTCAAAATGTTGACTAAAATTGTTGTAAACCAAATTTATTGAGACTACATTTTTCGGCGACTAATTGAAAAGCAGACCAAAATTTCAGTAGAGCATGATATATGACATAAATATTATTGAGCTATTAAATTGTTTATAATCTTACTTATATATATAAATCGAGACGATATATTATTGTATATATTATATATCCGTACCATTTTACTGACACCACGGCATCAACTTTAACACAACTTTCCGCAAAAACCGTAAAAGATAGTTACAACTTAAACTTGTTTGACTGGTTCAAATGCATCAATGGCCTTCAAATCAGCATGGAAAATTAAAAAATTGGCCAATGAATAAGAATTTTGAAATGGTGTCCGACATTAAACTTATAGATTGAATAAGGCGACATAGGTTACAACTGAAAACAATTTTTATATTGTCAAATTCTTTTCCAGGCTATAAGTATATTTTGATCTCAGGTCAGAAGAGGAAATTGACGAAGAAAGAAGAAACAAACAAGATGAGAGGAGTGCTTGGAAAGCGAAACTGCGGCCCACCTCCAGCTGTATCGACATGGTTGTCAAATACTTATCACGCATAAGGTATGAGAAAAAACGGAGTGACCATAAACCTTAGCCAAAAATGTTTGTTTTGATACTAAATTATTTTGTGGCTAAATGTCCAACAATTACAATTATATCAACAACTGCAACTGCTTTTCTTTGCAGTCAATCATTGATTCCTGAGCGCTGATGACTAATTTCTGATTCTCAATCAACTGATTCTTGATTGAGCTCAGTCCGTATTTCATCTTCTTTAACTTGTCATTTTGAAAGCGAACCTAATCTCAAATCACAAAATCTCGCCGTTAAACAAAGCGAGATAAGAAAGAAGATAAGAGAGCGAATTAAACAAACGTATGCTATTAGTGTAGGGCTGAACAGGGCGAATTAAACATAGGTATGCTATTAGTGTTATAGACTGTAGGGCTGAGCGGGACTTAACAATTTATGTCACTTACCCTTATCATACCCTACGGGCTCAAGTAGCATATGTATAGTACTTAGCCTTACAATTATTAGGTGAAATATAGGTGCACAACTCACAAGATATGCTCGCAAAATGAATGTAATGGAAGATATTTTGATTGTACGTGCTAGTGTTGCAAAATATTACTAAAAGTGTTCAAACTTTAACTATGACAAAACCAATCATGAGATTTCACAGTCCATGAGATGAATTGGACGTGAAATGCACGTGAAATTCACGTGAGCTCCCAAAGCTAGCGCTGGCGACAGAAGATTAGCTTGTTCTTGTATTCATATTATCTGACAGTTTGACGCATCTTTATTCACAGCACTTATAGCTAGGTTGAGGAGACAGGGAATGACTATTCCTCATCAAAATTCTTATGTAGATTCAAAATTCGATCAGCTGATTGAGCTACGCCATGACTTTCATCCAATCTACAAAAAGTCATCAAATAAATTCATTAATATTTCTGGTTGCATGTGCTTCTCAGTCACAGCCTAGTGGTAAGCCTTTAAAGCTTTAATCTTGATGAGACTATTCAGAATCATTTACTCTAGTAACAGGGAGAGTAATTTGATATATGGACACGTTCATTGAAGTTTGTGGATATTGGTAAACAAAATAAATAGGGTTTTCGACGATAGTGGCTTAATTTTAGCATGTATTAATCTAGCGTGTTCATAAGTTCTGAACATTAGCCATGTGACCCATACTCCCATATGCACTGCTCAGAACGAAATAGTATTGTTTTTAGGCACTACAATCGCTAAAATGTCACATTTTTGTGACTGTTTTAACCATTATAGCTGCCCAATTAGCATTCATTGGTCTAAAATTTATTAGATTAGGTCAATCTAACAATCATGATACAACATTGGTTAAATGGCAGGGATCGAACAGGTTTAACGTAATATTTTGTCAACTTTGTCACACTCAGAATACGATACCTCTTCTTTACTGTAAGGTGTCCTCAAACCCTTTCAACTCATTATTTGATGGTTATTCTGCCAATCATAGCCCTAAAATATGTTGTTTTGAAAAGTTATATTAGGTAAATGAGGTAAATATTGGATGAATTGCTGAAATCATTTATATCTGATTTTGGTTTGGAATGCGGGAAAAATCTATATAAGGACGATAAAATTGATTCAAGTTAAGGGCAGTTGATGTTAACATTGTCACGAATTGATACAAAATTTCTTGCCCTATTTTGCAGAACCATACCTCGATTATAATTCAATATTCTTCCAGGAATGATTCATTGATTGGTAGGTTTCATCAAATCAGAGCTCATGTTTAACAATACTGAGTTTAATTTTATTAAGTTACCGAAATGTGACGAAATTCACTTTTCCTGCCCCAACAGTATAAATTCAATGTGATGAAAGATTGGCATGGGTTTCTATATTTCCTGTATAAATCAATGCCAACTATAATAAGGACTGTTGATGTGAAAGAAAATATATCTTAATTATGCAATGACTGATGTAACGAAATTTACATTTATTGCCCCTGTTTTGAAGAACTATACCTCGATTAGAATACAATGTTTCCTTATCATCATGCCTATGTCGATAAACTGGTTACTATGCCAACAAGGAGCAAACAGAGTTATGATATTTTTTATGCCGAAATTTAAACATTTTTACGATATTGTTGAGGTTAAAATTTTGCCAATGTTAACATATTACTTCCAGAAATATTATTAATTGATCCATAGTACGTAATATAGGGTGTTTAAGTTCGTATACTAATATTTGCTCAATTTCACACATGTTGAGATATCATACAAACATGTGTGACAAAATTTACCTATTTGTGCCTTATGTGTTCACCCTGTATCATCACGGAACTTTATTTCTTATTATTCATTATATTTATTTATTAAGCTCTAAAAGCGCTCAATAACCGATTATAAGCGCCGATCATAAAATTTCATTTGTGGTAACCTGCCATTCATTATCCATTATACACTATACATTAGTGTATAATGAAATTTCGAACCCTCAATTTAAAATGCATTTCTAAAAAAAGGTTATAACGTAGGCAGATAAATAACATCAGTATTTTTGGCACAGAAGCGAAGTTGACTTTCGGTCAAAAACGATGACAACAAGAAATGAGGCCGCGTTTCTTGTGTAGTCCGTGGTGCAATAATTTGTAATTAATTATAATTTATATTTTTAATTTATATTGTATAGTGTTAAACTAATTGTAATATCCGGATAGGAACATTTAACATTATTTCTCAAAGGAATTGTTATATTATAGTGGTGTTAAACTTAAAAGCATTTCAATACTTTCAGCACTTTACTATATATATATATATGTAGTTATCTGTTATATTATGTATTATAGTTATATATAATAAATAATTTGAAATCATGAATACAATGTTGTTACATTGAAACGCGTAGAACAATTTCTGTTGCAACAAACGGGATCAGTACAAATTTTGCCCAAGAAACGTTACACTAATTATTAATTATTAATGGATAGTGTATAGTGTATAGTGTGTACAATGTATAGCCGTCCGAAAGCATTACAGCCTCAACATGGCAGAGGAAGTTAAAAACGAATCATGAGTATGAACGCCAAGGGAAATATGATACACGCTCCGGAACTAGGACCTTAAGTACCATACTTGCTACACGTTGCAAGCCTTTCTCGTGCACTCGAATAGTACTCCGGCCGGAGGCCGGCGAGAAGGCCTTTTGTGGCCGGAGGCCGCAGCGCGCCTCGCGCGCGAAAAGGGCTAACAACGTGTATCAAATATAAGCAAGCTTTCAATTAAAGGAACCAAGTTTAAATGCTGGGTTGTGAAAGATTTAGATAGAGGGTTCGTGGATAAATAGAATTAGAACCAATAAGGTAACCAACAGACACTGTGCTGGAATAAAAATTAAGGACAACAGCAAGAAGTGAAAACAGGTTTTGGAACTGGTCGAAGATATTCAATATGAATAACAAGTAGCGTGCTGGAAATTTGACAACTCCTGGTACGTGCCAAGAAGATCTATAGTTCTAACGTTAGGTTATAGTCACGTGATATTTGTGACCAATTCCCGTCGTAGTGGGAGGTCACGTGATACGCGTCATCAGGTCACGTGACATATCAGAACATTAACAATGCGCCGAGCAGATTCTCGTGGGAAGAAAACTAAAACTCGCATTGTATTGACAGCGCTCTAGGCAGTGGCGTAACGTTGCATGTTACGCCATGCAAAAAATGCCGTGCCCCTCCCTGAAATTAGACAAATTAGGTAATTTTAGAGGACACGCAAAGGCAAAATCTTTAAAAATGTGTTTCTAGAGCAAAACGCGCAGTTTTTCTAGTATCGTCGTATTACCGTAGTTAAGTTTTTCAAAATTGTCCCACATTCAAACAAGGATTTGGCGCCCCCCTAAGTCCTAAAATGGCGTTCCCAGAGTTGGACCTGATATGGGCGCCCTATTCCTGATGGGGCGCCCTATTCATCGACGACGTAATTGAAGTGTGGATGGGGACAGCGAGACAATTTACAATGTTTATTGATTTTGAATTGGCTGAACCGTATGTAATCAGGGCAGCTGGTTAACTTTTGAGACCTTAGCTTGAGCCTGGACTCGGAAAATCAATGTCAAAATGAATGAATATTTCAAACCCTAACCATCTTATCCACAGAACTTCCTTATATGGTCATATAACATTCCTACCTCTCTACAACGATAGTTTAGTATACAATACAACTGTCGATGCAACGCACGAACTACACAAGTGATTCACGATATAATTTAAGGAACAATTACGGTGCCTTTAAATGGTAACACATCATGGAATGACTGGTAACCGTGGGGTGTTGCCCACTATTATACAATATAGCTCGTCAACACTCTCTTTATCATACTGAGAGTAGCCGTATCGCTGATCAGATCATAAACAAATCCCTCATGAGACTAATGGAAAGTGCAAAAATCGTGTCAAAAATAATTCACCCTGGCTATGAAGGATCACCCCCATTACCAGTGCTACGATGATTGACAAAGGTCCCCCCTCCCCTTCTGGTCGACACAAAAACAAATATTTGGAGTACAAAAGGCTCCAGTACTGTCAGTGGGGGCGCCATAAAACTGTAACTGTAAGAGATCAAGGGGGGGGGGGGTACTTATATTTGAATGAATTAATCAAAATATTAGCTGTCTCTTCTCCTTTATTGTATTTCAATTGCTTTTTTAATCATTGGTCATGCAATTGATGAATAATTGCACAATCAATTAGTCAAAAAGTCATTTTGCCTAAAATTTTGTCGGCAAGTCGAAATCGTTGAACTTCTTCGCCCATTTTATGAAAGAGGAAAAGCATTTAAGCGATGCATTTATTCTCGCAATTATCAATAAAAGTATTAAATACAATGTTCTTTTCAGTGAGGGTAAAGGAGTGATGGATTATTTCCAGACACTAGGGGATCTGAAAGACGCGAGAGTTTTGTTAACGTTTGTTAACAGCCTGTACGAGGACGTGTTTACCCCTGACATCATGCTGAATGATAAGTGGAGTGTGAACTTGGCGCTGGAGGCAATATCTAATATACTCAGGATAAAGTCTGACTTTGATAGCGAGGTTAGGACACACTGGAGGCAATATCTAATATACTCAGGATAAAGTCTGACTTTAATAGCGAGGTTAGGACACACTGGAGGCAATATCTAATATACTCAGGATACATTCTGACTTAGATAGCGAGGTTAGGACACACTGGAGGCAATATCTAATATACTCAGGATAAAGTCTGACTTTGATAGCGAGGTTAGGACGCACTGGAGGAAATATCTTATATACTCAGGATAAAGTCTGACTTAATAGCGAGGTTAGGACACACTGGAGGCAATATCTTATATACTCAGGATAAAGTCTGACTTTGATAGCGAGGTTAGGACACACTGGAGGCAATATCTAATATATTCAGGATAAACTGACTTTGATAGCGAGGTTAGGACACACTGGAGGCAATATCTAATATATTCAGGATAAACTCTGACTTTGATAGCGAGGTTAGGACACACTGGAGGCAATATCTAATATATTCAGGATAAACTCTGACTTTGATAGCGATGTTAGGACACACTGGAGGCAATATCTAATATACTCAGGATACATTCTGACTTAGATAGCGAGGTTAGGACACACTGGAGGAAATATCTTATATACTCAGGATACATTCTGACTTTGATAGCGAGGTTAGGACACACTGGAGGAAATATCTAATATACTCAGGATAAAGTCTGACTTTGATAGCGAGGTTAGGACACACTGGAGGCAATATCTTATATACTCAGGATAAACTCTGACTTTGATAGCGAGGTTAGGACACACTGGAGGCAATATCTTATATACTCAGGATAAACTCTGACTTTGATAGCGAGGTTAGGACACACTGGAGGAAATATCTTATATACTCAGGATACATTCTGACTTTGATAGCGAGGTTAGGACACACTGGAGGCAATATCTAATATACTCAGGATAAAGTCTGACTTTAATAGCGAGGTTAGGACACACTGGAGGAAATATCTTATATACTCAGGATAAAGTCTGACTTTAATAGCGAGGTTAGGACACACTGGAGGCAATATCTAATATACTCAGGATAAAGTCTGACTTTGATAGCGAGGTTAGGACACACTGGAGGCAATATCTAATATACTCAGGATAAACTCTGACTTTGATAGCGAGGTTAGGACACACTGGAGGCAATATCTAATATATTCAGGATAAACTCTGACTTTGATAGCGAGGTTAGGACACACTGGAGGAAATATCTTATATACTCAGGATAAAGTCTGACTTTAATAGCGAGGTTAGGACACACTGGAGGCAATATCTAATATATTCAGGATAAACTCTGACTTTGATAGCGAGGTTAGGACACACTGGAGGCAATATCTAATATATTCAGGATAAACTCTGACTTTGATAGCGAGGTTAGGACGCACTGGAGGCAATATCTTATATACTCAGGATAAACTCTGACTTTAATAGCGAGGTTAGGACACACTGGAGGCAATATCTAATATATTCAGGATAAACTCTGACTTTGATAGCGAGGTTAGGACGCACTGGAGGCAATATCTAATATACTCAGGATACATTCTGACTTTAATAGCGAGGTTAGGCACACTGGAGGAAATATCTTATATACTCAGGATACATTCTGACTTAGATAGCGAGGTTAGGACACACTAGAGGCAATATCTAATATATTCAGGATAAACTCTGACTTTAATAGCGAGGTTAGGACACACTGGAGGCAATATCTAATATACTCAGGATAAAGTCTGACTTTAATAGCGAGGTTAGGACACACTGGAGGCAATATCTAATATATTCAGGATAAACTCTGACTTTGATAGCGAGGTTAGGACACACTGGAGGCAATATCTAATATACTCAGGATAAAGTCTGACTTTAATAGCGAGGTTAGGACGCACTGGAGGAAATATCTTGTATACTCAGGATAAAGTCTGACTTTAATAGCGAGGTTAGGACACACTGGAGGCAATATCTAATATATTCAGGATAAACTCTGACTTTAATAGCGAGGTTAGGACACACTGGAGGCAATATCTAATATATTCAGGATAAAGTCTGACACACTATATAATTAGCAGGAATCAAATATTAAACATGACAGGTTCCTGCTAATAAACAATGTGCCCCTTCACAAACAATAAACATATAAAATACTCCTTCACAAACAATAAACATTTAAAATGGTGCTACGAGAGTGCAAGGCCTACACTTTATAGGCACTGCACCTTAAATACCTGTAAAAGTAGGATGGTTCCGAAATTGAATTTTAACAGGACCATATTATAATGATATTATAAAAGACCAAATGATGTGCTAAGTGCCTGATAGTTATAACGAAGAATTCAGTGCAATATTACTGACTCAGTAATGACTCTAAAGAACTAACCCTACAATGCGGGGGTGTGTTGTTAAAATCAGACAGTTTATCAAATAACGTTTATATAACTTTATATAACTTTATATAACTTATATAACTTTATATAACTTTATATAACTTTATATAACTTTATATAACTTTATATAACTTTATATAACTTTATATAACTTTATAATTATATTTGTTATTTTATCAAATTACTTGTATGTGTGCTTCTTCAATTATTCGTTCAGGACCTGGTGGCGGCAGACAATCAGGCAATGTGCGCATACCTTGCCTGTATTTTCAACAAAGCTCTCGATTTTAAACAGACTGAACGGGTACTGTTATTTTAACTGACATTTTTTACTGACTCAGAATTATACCGAACATTTAAATGTTAATCAATCAGTCATGTTTTTAGACTGAAATGTTGAAACGTTCAACCCTTATCTAGGTTGTGAAACGTCTCCGGACAATCAAAGAGAAGCTGGCCGTTTACAACAAAGAGCTGGATGAAATGAGCAAGATCAGCATGAGCGCTAACGAGTCTCGTCAGAAAAAAGAACTACTTCTCAAAGTATGCAAATTAAGTATGCACATTATGGAGATAAAGTAATTATTGTTCAGTAACAGATTTATAACGGTATCGTACTGTAATGAATCCATTACGAAAAAACCATAAGTCTTGTTTGGGGGGGGGAGGTCTTGTAACAACTACTGTGCAACCTAACCTAAACACCTTTTTGTGAGGAACATAAATATTCTATGAGTTAACATATTCCTCGAATGAGTGGTGATAGTAATTATTAAGTTGCTTTTGCTCCCCTCCCCCCCCCCCCCCCCCCCCGTGGGAAACGAAAAGTTTCGTTTAAAAAATGACCGACTTGAACTCTTTAGGTTGAAGTACTCAAAAAAGAATATGAACGTCTTGGAACTACATATGATATAACTAAATTACAAATATGGATGAAAGATGCTGAAGCTGAACGACTAAGGGTAGGGACTAGGGAACATGTTTATTTCTATTTGTAGTTGTTGTAATTGTAGTAGTATAGTAGTAGAAGTAGTAATAGTAGTATTAGTAGTAGTAGTAGTAGTAGTAGTAGTAGTAGTAGTAATAGTAGTAGTAGTAGTACTTAGTTGTAGTATTAGTTGTAGTTGTAATTGTATTATTAGCTGTTTTAGTATTAACTATTAGTGATAGTGTTATAGTAATAACCTCGAGATGAGCTACATGTTGTTTTAACGCAGGTGCACGCTGTCGTCGCATATCGACTGAGGCAGAGATTTATCAGTGAACCAGTGAAGAGACCTATCGTCATATCAAATCTGATCGACTTGCAGTACATCAATCTGGTGATTTAAAGCTATCCAATCATTCATTAGGCGAATTATCCATTATTGTACTAGAATAGTAGTAGTAATGGAAGGTGAGCTTTTCTGAGTTAGCCAACAAACATTTTTGGAATCTAACACCGAAACAATTTACAGAGTTTAACGAACTCAGCCGCTTTTTACACCTCAAAAAACAAGGAGACAGTCAGTCCCACAAGACGAATTGTGCTCTATGACAAAAAGCAAGATCTCTTTATTGAGGACTTCAGGTCAGAATTAAAAGGAAGAATCGATATTCATTTTTCATTTTATATGACCGTACCAACAGTTCGCAAGGTTAAAATTATAAAATAGATAAGTTTGCGTGTCGTTTCTAAATACACCCCCCCCCCCCCCCCCCCCCCCCCCCCGTATTATTAGTTTGTATCGATTTCAGTGGTTTTAGAGACCCCAAGCTGCCTAAAGTTAGAGAACTGCTGATGATAGCTGAGAACGTAAGTTAGGCAAGTTTCCATAAACGATATTTTATGATCGTCGCCGATAATCGCTTATTGAGCGCTTTTTCGGCGCTTTTTTAAAAAAAAACCGTTTACAATCGCTTTTTTTACGATTATAAACGGTTCAAAAAAAATCGCTTATAATCGACTATAATTGGTGTCATAATTCAAAAAAGCGCTTTTTTGAATTTAAAAGCGCTTATAAGCGCTTTTAAGCGCTTACTAGCGTCGCTGAGCGATTTGAAAGCGGTTTTCCAGTAGGATTAGCGCCAAAAACGGGTGGATAAGCGGTTGGCCGGATAAGCGATTCGTAGGCGCTTTTTTGAACCATTTATAAGCGATTATAAGCGCTTATAATTGGGGTGCAATTTAGCTGTTTGTAAAGCGCAAATAAAGCGCTTATAAGCGCTTTTAAAATTGAGTCAGGAAAACGCTATATTACATCTTACAACCGCTTATAATCGATTATAAGCGTTTTTTCAGAAATCGCTTATAACAGCTAATTCATCGCTATTTCACCGCTTTTACCGCTTTTCCTATCATCCATGGCCAGGTGAGCAGGAATTAAAAAGCGCTTATAAGCGCTTTTTCGATGCTGCCCCTAGCCTGGTCGGAACGGGGTAGTGCCCGGAATTTAAAAGCGCTTATAAGCGATTTCTCAATTCCCCTTAACCTGGTTGGAACTTTCATGTGCTTTTATGAGCAACCTGGGGTGCACAGGCAGAGTCAGGATTTAAAAGCGCTTATAGGCGCTTATGATCGCTTTTCTACCGCTTTTTCTATCACCCATGGCCTGGTTGGCAAGAATTATAAAGCGCTTATAAGCGTTTTTTCAATGCTGCCCCTAACCTGTTCGGAACAGGGGTGTGCCCGGAATTGAAAGCGCATATGATCGCTTTTCTACCGCTTTTCCTATCACCCATGGCCTGGTTGGCAAGAATTAGAAAGCGCTTATAAGCGCTTTTTCAATGCTGCCACTAACCTGGTCGGAACGGGGGAGTGCCCGGAATTAAAAAGCGCTCATTAGCGCTTTTATAATGCTGCGCTTATAAGCGATTTCTCAATTCCCCTTAACCTGGTCAGAACTGGAAATCAGTGTGCCCGCTTATAGTTATAAGTGCTTTTCTGTGCAACCTGGGGTCACCGGCAGAATCAGGATTTAAAAGCGCTTATAGGCGCTTATGATCGCTTTTCTACCGCTTCTACTAAATCGCTTGCCCAAATTTTAAGGAAATTCTTGTGAAAAGGCCCTTTGGGGCATGAAAATGATCTATATATGTGTATTTTTGGACGCTGATTCCGAATCACCCCCCATGACGTAGGGTTAAAATGCTTCCCTGGAGAGTTATGGGCAAAAATCCGTTTTGGTCACGTGACAGGCTAGGCTAGTAAAATACGAATTCGATTGTTTAGGGCCCGGGTTAGGGTTAGGCTTGTGGAACGGGTTATGGTTAACTTCGGGGTTATGGTTAGGGTTAGGGTTGGGATTAGGATTTATGTAAAACCGTTTTGTACGGCTGCAAAACCATAAAAACCAAAGTCACGTGAAATTTTTGGGCGAGCGAATTAGTAAAAGCCGAGTTGGACTCCAATATATGGAACAAATATTTTACGAGTGTCACCCGTCAATTCTCGCAATCACGTTCAAGATTGCGCTTCGCACAAATACGGCGCGCGCTAACATTGACTCTTAAAATAATCGGATTGCTTTAATGTTTAAGTACCCGGGTTTTTACGCTTGCAGTGGCGCCCCACCTCCCGGTGACACAGAGGCGGTACTTGTGCGAAAAAATGCTTGCAGCCTGGGCACGGATCTAAGCAATTTTATATTGGGTGTCAAAATTTTGTCCTCATATCTGCAATCTGACGTCGCGCGTGGCAACATGAATACTGCGGGCGCGCGCACGAAGGCGAGTTGATGCTTTTCACTTTTCTTTACTTGTGAAACAAGTGGCGCGAATTTTACCAGGTGACCCCAAGCTAGTATGTTCATAAGCATAGCCTGGCGTAATTAAACCCTCTAAAACGCGCAAATAGGCGTGTTTATGCGATTTTACAATCAAATAATCAGATTTTACAATCTAACTCAGCGCGCGGCTCTTGTAGTGCATACGTCACTTCTTTTTTATTGGTAGTTGGCGTGCACGTGATCTTTTGCGCGGCTCTAATTGGTTCTGAACGATCACGTGAATGCTAGTCCAATGAGCATTCGCACTTTTTTAGGGCGATGAAAGTCGTAATTCACTCAGCCCGAATAAAGATTTGGCGGAATGCAGATAATGACAGGCTGAGCGCCGCCCAGTAACGCGAATTGTAAGCACCCTGTCACCCGATCTTAAGGTGACGTACGACACTTCGTTTAACAAACTAATTAAAACGTTTTTTGTTTCCCGCTAGGCTCATTGGACCAGGTGAGCTTGCATGCTTGTGAATGTGATTGTAAGTACAGCTGTACTGTAGTTTATACCTAATTACCCCTACTGCAGAAACTGCAAAGTGCGGGAAATTTTGGGAACCAATATATGGTTGCCAAAATCGATGGAGGGTTGGCGGCTAGATCAAAGCTCAACGGCTTTGGATTAGGGGTGGACGATAAAATAAACTTGCTCAGATTTTAAAATTTTTTTGTAACACTGTTTTCTAGAGACTGTGAGAATTTTCACAATACCAAATTTGTCATACCTTTTTGGAAAGATCAGTGAGTTTCGCCTCACTAGCTGGGTGCCATTTGCTCTATCCAGAGCCCTTGCGCTTGCAGTAGCGCGCGCCCACTCACTTCTTGACGTACTTGTGAAACAAGCGCGCCCGAAGTGGCGCGAAAGCACATGGTTAGGTAATGGGAAAAGCGGTAGAAAAGCGATCATAAGCGCCTATAAGCGCTTTTAAATCCTGACTCTGCCGGTGCACCCCAGGTTGCACAGAAAAGCACTTATAAGCGGGCACTCTGATTTCTAGTTCCGACCAGGTTAAGGGGAATTGAGAAATCGCTTATAAGCGCTTATTAATTCCAGGCACTCCCCCGTTCCGACCAGGTTAGGGGCAGCATTGAAAAAAAGCTTATAAGCGCTTTATAATTCTTGCCAACCAGGCCTTGGGTGATGGGAAAAGCGGTAGAAAAGCAATCATAAGCGCCTATAAGCGCTTTTAAATCCTGACTCTGCCGGTGCACCCCAGGTTGCTCAAAAAAGCACATGCAAGTGGGCACTCTCCAGTTCCGACCAGGTTGAAGAGAATTGAGAAATCGTTTATAAGCGCTTTTTAATTCCGGGCACACCCCCGTTCCAAACAGGTTAGGGGCAGCATTGAAAAAACGCTTATAAGCGCTTTATAATTCTTGCCAACCAGGCCATGGGTGATAGAAAAAGCGGTAGAAAAGCGATCATAATGCTTTTTAATCCTGACTCTGCCGGTGCACCCCAGGTTGCTCAGAAAAGCACTTATAAGCGGGCACTCTGATTTCCAGTTCCGACCAGGTTAGGGGCAGCATTTAAAAAGCGCTTTTTTATTCCGGGCACTCCCCCGTTCCGACCAGGTAAGGGGCAGCATTGAAAAACGCTTATAAGCGCTTTATAATTCTTGCCAACCCATGCCATGGGTGATAGGAAAAGTGGTAGAAAAGCGATCATAAGCGCCTATAAGCGCTTTTAAATCCTGACTCTGCCGGTGCACCCCAGGTTGCTCAGAAAAGCACATGAAAGTTCCAACCAGGTTAAGGGGAATTGAGAAATCGCTTATAAGCGCTTTTAAATTCCGGGCACTACCCCGTTCCGACCAGGCTAGGGGCAGCATCGAAAAAGCGCTTATAAGCGCTTTTTAATTCCTGCTCACCTGGTCATGGATGATAGGAAAAGCGGTAAAAGCGGTGAAATAGCGATGAATTAGCCGTTATAAGCGATTTCTAAAAAAACGCTTATAATCGATTATAAGCGGTTATAAGATGTAATATAGCGTTTTCCTGACTCAATTTTAAAAGCGCTTATAAGCGCTTTATTTGCGCTTTACAAACAGCTAAATTGCACCCCAATTATAAGCGCTTATAGTCGCTTATAAATGGTTCAAAAAAGCGCCTACGAATCGCTTATCCGGCCAACCGCTTATCCACCCGTTTTTGGCGCTAATCCTACTGGAAAACCGCTTTCAAATCGCTCAGCGACGCTAGTAAGCGCTTAAAAGCGCTTATAAGCGCTTTTAAATTCAAAAAAGCGCTTTTTTGAATTATGACACCAATTATAGTCGATTATAAGCGATTTTTTTTTGAACCGTTTATAATCGTAAAAAAAGCGATTGTAAACGGTTTTTTTTTTAAAAAGCGCCGAAAAAGCGCTCAATAAGCGATTATCGGCGACGATCATAAAATATCGTTTATGGAAACTTGCCGTAAGTTAAAGATGTTTTAGTTTATGCAAATTGGATCTATTATTTAATTTGAACTTTTAAGTTTATATGCCGTTGAAAATGTATAGTGACCACTTATCGTAAACCATAAAACAACGTAGTAGAGTAGTAGTTTACCTGGCGCCACTAAAGGAAATTTGTAAGTTTATTTCAGCTAGTCTCATGAAATGGAGAATTTAGATAAAAAGTAGCCCACTAACAATTTGTAACTAGTAACCTTTTAACTTATTAATCTAATAAAAATGATATACCTAGATAGTCTCGCTTTATACATAGTAAGATAAGTGGTAACACTACTACTTGAAGGAGATGTCGGATATATTCGCCGATGACTACGAGGAGGAGTTTGTGGTGTATTTTGAGTCCCACACCCGAAACAGGACGTTGAAACCTGGACAAGAGTTCCTCTATCAGCTCTTTCCTGGATCACAGGTTCGTTAAATCACGTCAAGAAGTAGAAATAATTCAGCCCCCAATATTATGTGAATAATTGGGCCAATTAATATTCAGCCTTGTTTTATAGCAGTACATTACACTTTCTGGGTACTGAACCAAACGATTTTGATAAATCTCATAACGATCCTCTTTGTTAGCGTTACGTCAGCAAGTATGTTACTCTAGTAGCAGTTACTAGAGTATGTTACTCTAGCAACCGTTACTAGAGTATGTTACTCTAGCAACTGCTACTAGAGTATGTTACTCTAGCAACTGCTACTAGAGTATTTCTTAACCTAACATTGACAACAAAATTACTTCAGGTGTTTTTACAAAAAGTCTACCATAAAAGAGTAAAAGCTGGAGACCTTCTCACCGTCAAAAAGCTGGTCAGATATGTCAATTTTTGTTCACTCTTATGACTTCGCAAGCCGTTACTTTTCAAGAACTTTTAACTACCAAACATATGCTTGTTCAGCATCTATTTGGTCATATAAAGCTTTGCTATTCATCGAACACACTCAGATAAAGTTTTACGATCACGCACCCGAGTTTATAGATTCTAAAGACATTTGGACTGGGAACACTGGGCTACATCTGGCAGTGAAGTATTCCCACTTCAATATTGTACTCTACCTTCTGGAGCAAGGCGCCAAGGTATCATGTTATTGAAAGTAACTGCTACTATAGAGTATATAAAAATATAATTTTATTCGTAGTCAGTTAGTGATTTATCATGATTCATACAGGGTGGGCCAAAAGTCAGTACCCATACGTTGGCCTTAATAGCTCCGCCGTGTTTTATATTTGAGAACTGTTGCTTTGCAGATGGCATACTGTACTTATAAATAGCATTTTCTGTATCTCGTTAACAATATTGACTGGGTGATTATGTGACACCGTGACACGACACCTTAATTGGGCACCCTTAACAATTCCCATAATGTTTAACGGGGTAGTTAACGGGGGCACCTTATCACGTGATTAGGTAAACCAATCACCTGATCACACGTAATGAATAAACTCGTTATGCTTCATATCTCGGTCATCTGAGAAGCTACAGTTCTAATTCTTTCAGGACAAACGTAATTCGAATGGCCAAACACAATTCAATAACATTTAGCTTGATCCGACTATCCAAACTATCAAATGAATGTGAAAATGAACCTCCATTTGAAAAAAATGAACGCGAATATTTTTCGAGTTGACAAATTCCTCGAACCAGTGGTGGTACTAAGTCATACCAGAAAGAAGTATTTAAATTGGGCACTCAGTGACTGAGCTATAAAGGCCAACGTATGGGTACTGACTTTTGGCCCACCCTGTATAATTACATGAAGACATGATAACAGGAATTATGTTATAAATATGTATAGGTTTTATAATAGAACAAATGAAACAAAGTTCAAATGGCAAGTTCTACTTCAAATTTCATACTATAGATATTAAACTAAAACAATCGTCAGGAATTTAGATTAGATCTAAAAATATTCTCTTAAGACAGTTTGCTCCTTCATAAAGTTAACATCAGCTCATTATTAGGAATTTCCTTGAGTGCCTGAATTTTGAGATTAGCTCGGTCCTGCTGTTGATGAACTTCGGTTAATATTTGCCACTTTGTCAGTCAATATACGGAGCGTCATATTTATACATAGAGCTGACTGAAACCGCTTTCAAAAAGCTTTGGTCAAACCATTGCCAAAGCTTCAAGAACGAGGCCTACGAAATATCAACCGAGTTATCCAAACTCGTATGGAGACTCAAGAGAGGCAAAACAAAATACACCATTGACTGGCAAATATTAACTAAATGCCAATCATACAAGCCTGAAGCCTGGTGCGAGAACGTGCAACTTGTGCCTGGCAGAAAAGCTCATCATCATCAAAAACCCGAAGACCGAAGTCCATCGACAGCAGGATCGAGCTAATCTTACTATATATAAAGCGAGACGATATATATATATAATATAGTTTTAATACTTTCAACACTACTATATAACAAATAATTTGAGATAACGATGTTTAATAAAATGATGCAAAGACTTATTTCGAGGACCTAATCAACACCGACTTTTAATGTGTAGGAGTACAGCTACAAAATATATATATATTTATCTGTGCCATTTTACTGATACCACGGCATCAACTTTAACGCGACTTTCCGCAAAAACCGTAAAAGATATACAACTGAAACTTTTTTGACTGGGTCAAATGCTTTTATGCTTTTCAAGACAGCATGAAAAAATAAAAAATTGGCCAAGGAATAGGAGTTTTAGAGCCCAAAATTTGGACCCCAAGTGGTGTCAAAAACGCGAATTAAATAGGTAATAATTATTTTAGTCTCTTGAGTCTTGACACCATTTTAGGGTTATACGGGTTCCTGCTAGTATGTATAACCTATACATAACATGAAATTGAGCACTGTAGTGCAGATAAAGGAAATAGCACCATATTATAGGTTTTATAATATATAATAATATAATAAATTATAATAGTATAATAGAGATATAGGTTTGCTAGTTGGAATTCTACCCGAAAGCTCGAGCAAAACGTATATTGACCAATGTCATATTTGGTCAATGCAACGCAAGTAGCCAAATTGTTCTGTAGCTAGAGGAGAAACATGTCCAGTATAATCACGATCGTCCAAATTTTAATCGATCGTATTTTTAACTGACTTTTCAACCAACCTTTTCAACCAACATTTCCCACTTTTAGGTGGAGCTACCGAACCAGAAAGGGAAAACCCCCTTCTTTATCGCTGCGGAGCGGTTTGATCGTCTGATCTGTAAACTTCTAATCGAGTGGGGGGCTGATATCTTCACCAAAAACAGCTATCAGAAATCAGCGTTAGAACTGATGAACAATGAAAAGTTCAGGTAAATGAGATTAAGCTGCTACACAGTTATTATATAAACGCTAAGATTATGGTCACATATTTATTTAAACAAGTTAAACAAGTTAAACAAGTTAAACAAGTTAAACAAGTTAAACAAGTTAAACAAACTAGAATCAACTTATTGTGACACAATATATATGCTGATATATGATAGATACTGGTGAGAGGGGACACATGACAATTCTTGGTCTGTAAATGCTAGAAACTAATTATCACTCTCCTTGTTCACTTCACCACCAGATCTATAACGCTCATCAGTTGTGTGTGCAATTTGAACAACATGCTTCAGAGACTTTAAGTTTACAAAATGTTTCAGAGAATTCATAACATGTTTCAGAGACATAACAACATGTTTTAGAGACTTAACAACATGTTTCAGAGACTTTATAACATGTTTCAGAGACTTTATAACATGTTTCAGAGACTTAACAACATGTTTCAGAGACTTTGTAACGGGTCACTACCAGTACATAAAACAGAATAGTATCGCCATTTTAGCTGGGGATATGGAGCTGCTCAACAAAGTTGTCCTAGATCACAAATACAAAGCAGTTGAACTCTCCAGTGCTAAAACTAGGTGAGTTTTTGTCATTGACACGCACTATAAATATGCATTTATGCATTTATGTCTGTGGTATTAAGTTATAACGATCATTGCATATATTCTACATTTTATTCATTCTTTTGCCAGGGTCCCAACACCCTATGGGTTAACTTTAAAGCTTTGCAATATCATAGGTCATAGATTTTATTCTAAACACAAACAAGACGTTGAAGGTCTTTAGCATATAGAGAGCATAGTTTGTAAATCTAATACGTAACACCTAAAATAAAAATATGTAATTTGTAAAATATTACAAATTAAGTCGAAATTGCTATAATAAAAATTGATATTTTCTCGACAAAATGAACTGCTTTTTTTGTAAAATATTACTGCTGGCTGATTGAAATATCTCAACAAGACTAAAAAGCTTACAATTTGGTTTCTTGTAACCTACAGGAACGTGACATATATAATATTTTCCCAGTTACTGGTTACATACAGTAGACCAATTAGTAGACCAACTAACCAGCACACCCTACTAGTAGACCAACTAACCAACACACCCCACTAGTAGACCAACTAACCAGCACGCCCTACTAATAGACCAACTAACCAACACACCCCACTAGTAGACCAACTAACCAGCACGCCCTACTAGTAGACCAACCAACCAGCACACCCTACTAGTAGACCAACTAACCAGCACGCCCTACTAGTAGACCAACTAGACCAGCACGCATAAAGTAGTATACAAATATTACAATGCCCCTAGCTGTGTTACTTTGTGCTTATAAAGCTGCCATATATTCACCACCGACAAAGGGCCTATTTAGTGAGCACTATTGTCCCGTATATATTTATATACACCCAGAATTAGTCTAGGGCTTGTCCAGTTGTCCTTGATCTAAGTTTACAGACGTTATATAAAGAATAGACGCAGCTTTATATACATGAGGATTGAGGCTGATAACTGATTGCGCACGTGCAGTACCACTATATTGCACTACCTGATTATCCGTTAATTCGATTAAAATTGTACAGAAGTACAGAGAAGATGTTATCACAAATATAGATCAGCCAGTAGTAGTAATAATAGTAGCAAGCAAGTCCTTATTAAATCCTGGTTCCAATGGACTTTATCAAATCTTTATAATAGCCCTGCAACAGATAATTAATGAAACTAATTGTGCGCAGGTGTTTTGAGGGTCTGACCTGCATGCACGTGGCGGCCAAGTTCGGGGCCATACCCATTATAGAGATTCTCGCAGAGATGGGAGTCTCTGTCAAGATACGGGACAGTCAGGGGGCCACACCACTTCATTACGTCCACGATGTAGTCACATGTCAGGTGAATATACTCTTGCAATCAACACTTACATTTGCAGTATAAAAGGACACATGTAAGGAAGAATTATTTTTTGAAAACTAAGACACGATTCGTGTCGGTTATATCAAATATAACAAAAAAAACTTGATAACTGTCAATGCTTATTCGACGTAATCTAGAATTAACTTACTAAAACACGATTTAGAATTAAAATTTGTCAACAAGTCAACAAAAAGAAATAAATATTCTCCATGTTCCAGGTTTTAATCGAACACGGAGCTGATGTTAACGCTACAGATCTTGTTAAGGACACTCCTCTTCATTACTTGTGCAGGTTAAGGGCACTCCTCTTCATTACTTGTACGTGGTATGAGTGGAAGTTACCCACACTCCACGGTAACACACGTGTGAGTGGAAGGTACCCACAGTAACACACGTGTGAGTGGAAATTATCCACGGTTACACACGTGTGAGTGGACGGTACCCACGGTAACACACGTGTGAGTGGAAGGTACCCACGGTAACACACGTGTGAGTGGAAGGTACCCACAGTAACACACGTGTGAGTGGAAATTATCCACGATAACACATGTGTGAGTGGAAGGTACCCACAGTAACACACGTGTGAGTGAGGGGTACCCACGGTAACACATGTGTGAGTGAGGGGTACCCACGGTAACACATGTGTGAGTGGAAGGTACCCACAGTAACACACGTGTGAGTGGACGGTACCCACGGTAACACACGTGTGAGTGGAAGGTACCCACGATAACACATGTGTGAGTGGAAGGTACCCACGGTAACACACGTGTGAGTGGAAGGTACCCATTCGCTAGTTAGTAGTTATATAAAGTGGGTTATTTATTTGAAATTGGACCAACCCTGATCATTCCTTGTCAACTTGTACTGGACTTATCAGGGAACTGGGTAAGTAAGCAGCTCACTACTTGTCAGAGAACTTTGAGTGGGGATCTTTCTCAACCAAGTATTTATAGTTAGCGTTATGGTTTATTTTTAGTTCTGGTGGAGCTGATAACTTAAATAATATGTGAAAGACAAATGCAATTTATTGTTTTGTTTCTGAGATATCAGCCTGCATTTTCCCAGAAATGAGCTTGATTTATTTATTATTCGTATAGCCTGCACGTGCTACAAAACAAATAAAATCCCAGCCAATAGGAACCAAGCAGCTCACTACATAACTCATCTTTAAATTATCTGGTGTTATCGGGAGTATAGAGAAACTTTTATTTTGCCGGGACCGATATTAAATCAATAACATTGGTCCAATTCTGATATTATCTTAATATCATTTCCATGTTTATAAAGCACTGTGTAACTCTATTCGAAAAGAAATTAATTGTTTCAAAATCAGATATCAGATTGATACTGTACTTACTAATAAAACAAACATAAAATTATTACAGAAGCCTCTATTAAAGTTATTACAGGAGATAGGCCTCTATTCAGGTTATTACAGGAGATACTTAATGCAAATGTTTATTTCAGTTCCAGAGCGGGAACTTCAGATAACCAAATAGATATAGCGGAGGTGTTAGCGAACTATGGAGCAAGTCTGAGCGTTGTTAACAAGAGAGGATACATGCCACTCCATTACTGCGCTATTCAGGTGTGGAACACGTAACATTACTGCGCTATTCAGGTGTGTAACACGTAACATTACTGCGCTATTCAGGTGTGGAACACGTAACATTACTGCGCTATTCAGGTGTGTAACACGTAACATTACTGCGCTATTCAGGTGTGTAACACGTAACATTACTGCGCTATTCAGGTGTGTAACACGTAACATAACTGCGCTATTCAGGTGTGTAACACGTAACATTACTGCGCTATTCAGGTGTGTAACACGTAACATTACTGCGCTATTCAGGTGTGGAACACGTAACATTACTGCGCTATTCAGGTGTGTCACACGTGACATTATAACTGCGCTATTCAGGTGTGGAACACATAACATTACTGCGCTATTCAGGTGTGGAACACGTAACATTACTGCGCTATTCAGGTGTGGAACACGTAACATTACTGCGCTATTCAGGTGTGGAACACGTAACATTACTGCGCTATTCAGGTGTGTAACACGTAACATTACTGCGGTATTCAGGTGTGTAACATGTAACATTACTGCGCTATTCAGGTGTGTAACACGTAACATTACTGCGCTATTCAGGTGTGTAACACGTAACATTACTGCACTATTCAGGTGTGTAACACGTAACATTACTGCGCTATTCAGGTGTGGAACACGTAACATTACTGCGCTATTCAGGTGTGTAACACATAACATTACTGCGCTATTCAGGTGTGTAACACGTGACATTACTGCGCTATTCAGGTGTGTAACACGTGACATTACTGCGCTATTCAGGTGTGGAACGCATAACATTACTGCGCTATTCAGGTGTGGAACACATAACATTACTGCGCTATTCAGGTGTGGAACACGTAACATTACTGCGCTATTCAGGTGTGGAACACGTAACATTACTGCGCTATACAGGTGTGGAACATGTAACATTACTGCGCTATTCAGGTGTGGAACATGTAACATTACTGCGCTATTCAGGTGTGGAACGCATAACATTACTGCGCTATTCAGGTGTGGAACGCATAACATTACTGCGCTATTCAGGTGTGGAACACGTAACATTACTGCGCTATTCAGGTGTGGAACACGTAACATTACTGCGCTATTCAGGTGTGGAACACGTAACATTACTGCGCTATTCAGGTGTTGAACACGTAACATTACTGCGCTATACAGGTGTGGAACATGTAACATTACTGCGCTATTCAGGTGTGGAACATGTAACATTACTGAGCTATTCAGGTGTGGAACACGTAACATTACTGCGCTATTCAGGTGTGGAACACGTAACATTACTGCGCTATTCAGGTGTGGAACACGTAACATTACTGCGCTATTCAGGTGTGGAACACGTAACATTACTGCGCTATTCAGGTGTGGAACACGTAACATTACTGCGCTATTCAGGTGTGGAACACGTAACATTACTGCGCTATTCAGGTGTGGAACACATAACATTACTGCGCTATTCAGGTGTGGAACACGTAACATTACTGCGCTATTCAGGTGTGGAACACGTAACATTACTGCGCTATTCAGGTGTGGAACACGTAACATTACTGCGCTAATCAGGTGTGGAACACGTAACATTACTGCACTATTCAGGTGTGGAACACGTAACATTACTGCGCTATTCAGGTGTGGAACACATAACATTACTGCGCTATTCAGGTGTAGAACACGTAACATTACTGCGCTATTCAGGTGTGGAACACATAACATTACTGCGCTATTCAGGTGTGGAATACGTAACATTACTGCGCTATTCAGGTTTGGAACACGTAACATTACTGCGCTATTCAGGTGTGGAACACGTAACATTACTGCGCTATTCAGGTGTGGAACACGTAACATTACTGCGCTATACAGGTGTGGAACACGTAACATTACTGCGCTATTCAGGTGTGGAACACGTAACATTACTGCGCTATTCAGGTGTGGAACACGTAACATTACTGCGCTATTCAGGTGTGTAACACATAACATTACTGCGCTATTCAGGTGTATAACACGTGACATTACTGCGCTATTCAGGTGTGTAACACGTGACATTACTGCGCTATTCAGGTGTGAAACGCATAACATTACTGCGCTATTCAGGTGTGGAACACATAACATTACTGCGCTATTCAGGTGTGGAACACGTAACATTACTGCGCTATTCAGGTGTGGAACACGTAACATAACTGCGCTATTCAGGTGTGGAACATGTAACATTACTGCGCTATACAGGTGTGGAACATGTAACATTACTGCGCTATTCAGGTGTGTAACACGTAACATTACTGCGCTATTCAGGTGTGGAACACGTAACATTACTGCGCTATTCAGGTGTGTAACACATAACATTACTGCGCTATTCAGGTGTGTAACACGTGACATTACTGCGCTATTCAGGTGTGTAACACGTGACATTACTGCGCTATTCAGGTGTGGAACGCATAACATTACTGCGCTATTCAGGTGTGGAACACATAACATTACTGCGCTATTCAGGTGTGGAACACGTAACATTACTGCGCTATTCAGGTGTGGAACACGTAACATTACTGCGCTATTCAGGTGTGGAATATGTAACATTACTGCGCTATACAGGTCTAAGATGAGAAGTATGTATGATACCGGGCGAAAAGTACGTACTTGTACTTTATTTTGAAAAGTACGTATGATACCTCAGTGTACGATTCAAAAAATTTTCAAACTTATTTTCACAGGCGCGATGTAACGTTTTTTAGATCCGACGTTTTATTTATTGGAAACTCCCGACTTCCACGGTTGAAATTTCATTGTCATGATGGTTTTGAAAGCCATATTCATGGAGATAATAGAAACACTCAATCGCAGATAACAAAGAAAGTTTAATAAGCTTCATCATTTCATCAAAACAAAAAACAATGAACTTTCTAGCATCATCATTTCAACAGATCAAATTTACTTTCAGCTTTAACGTTTCAGTTTTGCATTAGAGTAGATGTAGATCAATTTGTTGAATCTCTCAGGCTTAGTGCGTAGTCTTCTACTGCAGTAGATATACTCCATTGTTCACAGACTGAGGAAGAAGTCAGAACACTAAAAACTTTTCTAGCGATCAAATGGAGAACCTCATAACTCTGTGGGCTATAGTATCTCCAATACAACATAGGATTTGGTAGATTCTGCAACGAATCCACTTCGGTGTATAAATTGAGCCCCTCGCTGTCCACATTTAGCCTGTAATGCTCGAGTTCTCTCAGGGCGATACCGCTGTCAAACTTCATTAGTCTAGCTGTATCTTTAAAGTCATTGATGACGTTCCGATCGTCAAACATTGGGTACTTTTCAATTCCGCAGTATTTTAAAAGTACGTACTTGTACGATACTTTGAAAAGTACGTATGATACATACTTCTCATCTTAGATACAGGTGTGGAACATGTAACATTACTGCGCTATTCAGGTGTGGAACATGTAACATTACTGCGCTATTCAGGTGTGGAACGCATAACATTACTGCACTATTCAGGTGTGGAACGCATAACATTACTGCGCTATTCAGGTGTGGAGCACGTAACATTACTGCGCTATTCAGGTATGGAACACGTAACATTACTGCGCTATTCAGGTGTGGAACACGTAACATTACTGCGCTATTCAGGTGTTGAACACGTAAAATTACTGCGCTATACAGGTGTGGAACATGTAACATTACTGCGCTATTCAGGTGTGGAACATGTAAAATTACTGAGCTATTCAGGTGTGGAACACGTAACATTACTGCGCTATTCAGGTGTGGAACACGTAACATTACTGCGCTATTCAGGTGTGGAACACGTAACATTACTAAGCTATTCAGGTGTGGAACACGTAACATTACTGCGCTATTCAGGTGTGGAACACGTAACATTACTGCGCTATTCAGGTGTGGAACACGTAACATTACTGCGCTATTCAGGTGTGAAACACGTAACATTACTGCGCTATTCAGGTGTGTAACACGTAACATTACTGCGGTATTCAGGTGTGTAACATGTAACATTACTGCGCTATTCAGGTGTGTAACACGTAACATTACTGCGCTATTCAGGTGTGTAACACGTAACATTACTGCGCTATTCAGGTGTGTAACACGTAACATTACTGCGCTATTCAGGTGTGGAACACGTAACATTACTGCGCTATTCAGGTGTGTAACACATAACATTACTGCGCTATTCAGGTGTGTAACACGTGACATTACTGCGCTATTCAGGTGTGTAACACGTGACATTACTGCGCTATTCAGGTGTGGAACGCATAACATTACTGCGCTATTCAGGTGTGGAACACGTAACATTACTGCGCTATTCAGGTGTGGTACACGTAACATTACTGCGCTATACAGGTGTGGAACATGTAACATTACTGTGCTATTCAGGTGTGGAACATGTAACATTACTGCGCTATTCAGGTGTGGAACGCATAACATTACTGCGCTATTCAGGTGTGGAACGCATAACATTACTGCGCTATTCAGGTGTAAAACACGTAACATTACTGCGCTATTCAGGTGTGGAACACGTAACATTACTGCGCTATTCAGGTGTGGAACACGTAACATTACTGCGCTATTCAGGTGTTGAACACGTAACATTACTGCGCTATACAGGTGTGGAACATGTAACATTACTGCGCTATTCAGGTGTGGAACATGTAACATTACTGAGCTATTCAGGTGTGGAACACGTAACATTACTGCGCTATTCAGGTGTGGAACACGTAACATTACTGCGCTATTCAGGTGTGGAACACGTAACATTACTGCGCTATTCAGGTGTGGAACACGTAACATTACTGCGCTATTCAGGTGTGGAACACGTAACATTACTGCGCTATTCAGGTGTGGAACACATAACATTACTGCGCTATTCAGGTGTGGAACACGTAACATTACTGCGCTATTCAGGTGTGGAACACGTAACATTACTGCGCTATTCAGGTGTGGAACACGTAACATTACTGCGCTATTCAGGTGTGGAACACGTAACATTACTGCGCTATTCAGGTGTGGAACACATAACATTACTGCGCTATTCAGGTGGGGAACACGTAACATTACTGCGCTATTCAGGTGTGGAACACATAACATTACTGCGCTATTCAGGTGTGGAATACGTAACATTACTGCGCTATTCAGGTGTGGAACACGTAACATTACTGCGCTATTCAGGTGTGGAACACGTAACATTACTGCGCTATTCAGGTGTGGAACACGTAACATTACTGCGCTATTCAGGTGTGGAACACGTAACATTACTGTGCTATTCAGGTGTGGAACGCATAAAATTACTGCGCTATTCAGGTGTGGAACACATAACATTACTGCGCTATTCAGGTGTGGAACACGTAACATTACTGCGCTATTCAGGTGTGGAACACGTAACATTACTGCGCTATTCAGGTGTAAAACACGTAACATTACTGCGCTATACAGGTGTGGAACATGTAACATTACTGCGCTATTCAGGTGTGGAACATGTAACATTACTGCGCTATTCAGGTGTGGAACGCATAACATTACTGCGCTATTCAGGTGTGGAACGCATAACATTACTGCGCTATTCAGGTGTGGAACACGTAACATTACTGCGCTATTCAGGTGTGGAACACGTAACTTTACTGCGCTATTCAGGTGTGGAACACGTAACATTACTGCGCTATTCAGGTGTTGAACACGTAACATTACTGCGCTATACAGGTGTGGAACATGTAACATTACTGCGCTATTCAGGTGTGGAACATGTAACATTACTGAGCTATTCAGGTGTGGAACACGTAACATTACTGCGCTATTCAGGTGTGGAACACGTAACATTACTGCGCTATTCAGGTGTGGAACACGTAACATTACTGCGCTATTCAGGTGTGGAACACGTAACATTACTGCGCTATTCAGGTGTGGAACACGTAACATTACTGCGCTATTCAGGTGTGGAACACGTAACATTACTGCGCTATTCAGGTGTGGAACACGTAACATTACTGCGCTATTCAGGTGTGGAACACGTAACTTTACTGCGCTATTCAGGTGTGGAACACGTAACATTACTGCGCTATTCAGGTGTGGAACACGTGACATTACTGCGCTATTCAGGTGTGGAACACGTAACTTTACTGCGCTATTCAGGTGTGGAACACGTAACATTACTGCGCTATTCAGGTGTGGGACACATAACATTACTGCGTTATTCAGGTGTGGAACACGTAACATTACTGCGCTATTCAGGTGTGGAACACGTAACATTACTGCGCTATTCAGGTGTGGAACACGTGACAGCAGTATATAGGTTGCTTCACCAAATATGCCAAGAAATTTAACCACACCTTGCCATGCTCATATTCATATCTATCAGTTATTTTTGCATGCCAAATTGATTAAGATAAAATACACAACTGTATAGTGTATACAGCTTTATAAAGACTGTTATAGTTGTTCTGCAGGGAAGAGCTGACTACATAATGCTGCTGATGCACGAAGATGAGGAAAATATAAAAGAGATCTTGTCCCATCAGATGACAACTCCCACACTCACCTACCTGGCATTCCATCACAACAATATTAGGTGTGCAAGATGGCTCCTCAGTGTCGGTCTTCCGCTTGTGGATGGTGCGTATATTTCGTTCGACCTAAATCAACATTTTGGCATTTTGTATACCTTATCGAACGTTATTTGACCGGACATAATTTTGAACGGACATTCAAATGAACGATCGAATGCACTTAAGGGGGCATACACCAAAACAGTGGTTTGTGCCGTCCAGACCAAATGACCTCATAGGCAGTTCAGTGACCTTCTAGCGCACCGTTTCCACACCAAAAAAAATTATTTTGAGAATACCCATTTTTGTAATCGAGCATTTCCTGGTTAAGAGTGCAATTTTCGGAAAAAATTATTTTGTGTTTGAGACGCTATAAGTTAATCATTTCTTGTGGTATAGGGTTGAAATTTTGCTCGCCGTTTATTCACATCTATGTCAAGGTGTGTGTAAAATCTTGATATCGTATCTAAAAAGGCTGGTGTGTTATGAATTTTTAAAGTCAAAAAGCTAAAATTGTCCTTTTCAGGCTTATTTTAACAAAAAAGTCAGTCAGGGAAGATCGGATTATTTGATGCTTGACATCAAATTGTTCTCTGAATTCTGGCGCAGTTTTTGATGCCCTCAAAAATGTTTTTACTCATTCACCTTCTGATCTATTGGACCTCAAAGCCAAACAACAAATTTAGGCACATTTTTCGTTTTTAATATTTACTGATTTTTCTAAAATTTTGATAGGAATGTGCTAGTGACTTTTTGAAGGGTGCGTGCAAAATAACCGCAACTAGCACATTTATATACGAGTTATGAACAACAAAACACCCTAAAATGCTTCCCTTTGAAGTTATGGGTGAAAATGTGATTTTTATCTGCAAAGCCAAAAAATCACATTTTCTCCCATAACTTCAAAGGGAAGCATTTTAGGGTGTTTTGTTGTTCATAACTCATATATAAATGTGCTAGTTGCAGTTATTTTGCAACCTTCAAAAAGTCAATAGCACATTCCTATCAAAATTTTAGAAAAATCAGTAAATATTAAAAACGAAAAATGTGCCTAAATTTGTTGTTTGGCTTTGAGGTCCAATAGATCAGAAGGTGAATGAGTAAAAATATTTTTGAGGGAATCAAAAACTGCGCCAGAATTCAGAGAACAATTTGGTGTCAAGCATCAAATAATCCGATCTTCCCTGACTGACTTTTTGTTAAAATAAGCCTGAAAAGGACAATTTTAGCTTTTTGACTTTAAAAATTCATAACACACCAGCCTTTTTAGATACGATATCAAGATTTTACACACACCTTGACATAGATGTGAATAAACGGCGAGCAAAATTTCAACCCTATACCGCAAGAAATGATTAACTTATAGCGTCTCAAACACAAAATAATTTTTTCCGAAAATTGCACTCTTAACCAGGAAATGCTCGATTACAAAAATGGGTATTCTCAAAATAATTTTTTTTGGTGTGGAAACGGTGCGCTAGAAGGTCACTGAACTGCCTATGAGGTCATTTGGTCTGGACAGATTTGGTGTATGCCCCCTTAAAACCATTAATAATTCAAAATTTGTTCATCTTCTTGAGCGCATTTTTTTCAATTTTTGCAGATAATGTTCAATCGCTTTTTAATACAGCGATGTTTTTAATTGATCCGATGATATAATTTAGTCCGATGATAGAAATTAGAAATTGAAATTGGCCGAAATTAAAAAGTAGTCACATCCTGGACAACAAGTTCGTAGTGGAATACTTTTGGGGAGAAACTTTAACTTTAACAGGTTTTATTTGAACAGACAGACTTCACTTGAACGGCCAAAATCGATATATTGTCTTCAAAAATCGAGTTTTAAAAATATTATCTTAAAATTTTGTGCACTCATAGATAACTCATAAGTATCCACCTGCAGTAGTGTCTACCTCAAACATTTAACCAAAACATAAATCAACGTAATTTTTAGCATGTTTATATGCTCCGCTTTTGATAATCCGTTGAAAAATCGGCGGGCACTCGATGTTTTGGAATGGGGTTCTTAAACATTCTTAATCATAAAATCTGTTAATTCTATCCATGGTAAACATGACATAATCCTGATCCTAGATGAAGCAACAATTCTCCTAAGAGAGTTGCTGCAAAATACAGAGCGAAGTTTGAGGATCAAAGTGGAGACTTGCTCGTTACTTCTGGAAAACGGAGCGGATCCTAATGCTGTGTACGAAAAAACGGGGCATCCTGTTCTACACATCACAACCAAATCTGTACAGACTATTGAGGTAGTTATTTATGCTATATTTATGAAGGAGCAATCATCTATATTTAGCCCTCAGTTGCACAATGCACATCGGTTGCAATTTTGTTACCAGTCCAAATATCAGAAATTTAACATTATTTTCGAAATTTTGTATATTTTGGTGGGATATATATGGTAAAAAGAAAACTCCACTTACGGACGTGTGGAGAGTTAGGACTTCTCAATAACTACCTTACAAGACATATTTATGGCGGCCTAATTGGCGACGACCGAAATTTTGGCGGTCCGAAAATATGGCGAAATTTAACAAAAACCGTCAAATTTCGGACGTCACAGAAAATAAGGGTATTTTTCATCATTTTTTGTGACAGTAAGCAGTAAGGAAATTTCTGAAATTCGGTAAAATCATGTTCAAACTTAGTCTGTATTAAGACTGTAAGACTTTCATGTTAGCACATACATGTATTTTAATGCAAATTTAAACTGTATTGCTTGACATTCAATTCGTCATTGGTGTGGTGATAATTTGTCCCAAGATGCCAGAATTTATTTATTTATTTTACTTGATATTACTTTTTAGAAACAAAATAAAGCAGTGAAGGCACAGTCATTGAAATAAGCTAAAAGATAATGCGACGGATTCTATTACGACGACCGAAATTTTGGCGGTCCGAAAATATGGCGAAATTTTCGGAAAACCGCCACATTTCGTACGTTATAAATATGTCTTGTAAGGTATATTCCTTCTGTAACGTCCTCAATAAATGTAATAGATTTATAGTGTTGACTGTTGTAATTAGTTTAAAACTAGAATACTAGAAACCCGCTGGTCGAAAGCTTTAGTCGAGAAAATTTAAAATCAGTTATGTTCTAATTTCTCTTCGTCATGTAGCGTAGAAAGTATGGATTTTTATTTAGCAATAAAGTTTTAGGCATTCTCAAATCAATACTTTTTAAGTTAAACGCATCGAAAAACATCAATCACAACTAAAGTTACAAATACTTAAATAGTCATAGAGTGAGCGTAAATGTGAGCTAGTCGCATGACGTATCATATTCATAAAGCATGAAAACGTTGTAACTAATTGCATCCAAGATGAAAACGTGCATTGATAATAATAATATGTGCTTGCTCGTACACGTGCAATATTTTGATGTTGCTACGCAACGACGCTGTCAAAATTTTTTAAGAACATTATTATTCTGACGTATATTTATCCTCACTAATCACTTCCGACGTTATTTACAAAAATCAAAATCCTTAATCAAAATTCGAAAAACGTACAGTATCCAAGAAACCCGACCCAGTCCGCGGACTAGTCCGTGCTCCATGTCAGGAATTGGAATATTAATTGTTGTCGTTGTTGAAAGTGGTAATTGATAATACTCCACAGAAATCGACTTATATACGACATTTAATTAATCGTAATCGTTGACTTCATTCAGCAATTAACTAATACTTATATAGTTGTAACTAATTGCATCCAAGATACCATTCATAATTCATATGATCTGTTTACCACCATGTAACGAGTAGTCCGCGGACTGGTCCACGGACTAGTACGCTGATTGGGTCGGGTTTCTTGGATACTGCCGAAAATACTATAATAGCTGCATGTTTTGCTTTAATAATTTTGCTAAAAATTGCGAGTTTTAGACTCCATTTGCGAACTGTAACTCGAACTGATTCATACAAAGGGTCACTTTTATTGGGATATGTTCTGTGTTTTAAAATACAGTATAGATGTATTATTAACATTAGCAGGGTACACGTCCTCCGGACGACAATAATTTTTTACTTTTACATACTTTTACTGACACCACGTTTTCATTTTCTAAATTTGTTTGGGTCGAATTGAAAAACAGCATTTTCAAATGTTTAAATTTCAAATAAAAATCAATCCAAAACAAATTGATTTCTAATAATTATTACTATTACTATTAATCCAATTCCAAAACAAATTCACGAAAAACAAAATCTTTGTTAAAATATCATTTGTCCAAAACCTCTGGGTAGACAACATTGTCAGTTCTCACAATGTCCAACGAAAAACCTCTTCAAAGTTTGTCCTTGGGCCTTATTGGACGTGATCGCAAAACAGGGTCTTAGAGAGTATTTTCGGAGAGTCATGTCAACGGGAAACGTAGCATCAGTTGGTTTGATAGGGATGCGGGGGACGAATAGCTTGTTACCCTTAAGACCCTCTGGCAACCACGGCTTCTATTATATTACCATCTTATCATGCAAGACAGTAGCGAATAGCGATTTGGTGCCGTTGCAATGACTTTGTTGTGGCAGCAGGTTTCGCAGAAGCTTCAAAAGATGAAATTAACAGGGCAGCCGACTTTCACTTTTAACTGGTGGGATGGCATTCCATTTGGCGACAAAGTGTTGAGGTACTCTTGTGGAATGTGGAAGCTATCCTCGGAGCTCACTTTGTCGTGGGACTTGTAGAGTATTGTGTTTTTTAAAGGGATTGGTTTTTATACCTATTTGTATGTGCTAATGTGTGCGGATAATATTGTCTTGACATCTAATGGTGTCCCATTAGCCAAAAACGTTTCAGTTGTATATCTCTCACAGTTTTTGCGGAAATTCGTGTTAAAGTTGATGGCGTGGTGTCAGTAAAATGGCAACAGATATACCTATATTTTAATTTTATGCTTAATCCTGTTTATGTTTAATATACCTATGAGTATTAGTATGAGTATTGCTGAAAGCACAGTGTAAGGCCTACACGGACCGCCTCTAACTAGCCAATCCCTGTTTACATGCCGTGTAGCAGGGGACTAGAAAGAGCTAAACTAGTAAGCGGGGCATAGCCAATACACTGTACTCCCATCATTGAGTATATTACCAACCAAAAGGAAATTTTCCTTGTGTTTGGAATCTACCAAGACGAAAGTTGTGCAATCCAGCGAAATTCCGAAGAATCATTCCAGTAGACTAGGCGCATTGCAACCACAGCTACGGATATACGTATGAGTATTGCTGAAAGCACAGTCTCACAGTGCAAGGCCTACATTGTATATATATCGTCTCGCTTTATATATAGTAAGATATCGGTCTTATTTGGCTACATCTGTGATCTGTCTCCTGTGGATATATTTAGGACGATATGTCCTAAATTGACTCTTGCAATTAACGACTGACTTCCCAATCGAGATTGTTCAAAAATCCAGTTTATGACCGTACTTAGAGCTGAACAATTTATTTGGTTGACCAAATTAGGAGCAGAAAAATCAGGGCCGATAAGATATAACAACTATTTATTGTAATCTACACTGCACATCTTTAAATCTCGTTATTCATTTTTATAAGTTACTCCTCAGTCCTCAAATAGGGAATCTCGTTGAAATTAATCAAGTTTTGAATCACCAAAAATATCATTTCAGCTCCTTGGCTTGTTGATAGAACATGGAGCAAATTTAGAAATAAAGAACAGAGAAGGACAGACTCCTCTGTTTGCGGCGGTCAAGTATAGAAACATCCACGCAGCCAAGTTTCTTATCGGTAAGTCTTATAAGTGGTCCGCATGTACCAGCTGTACCAGCTGTACCAGCATGTACCAGCTGTACCTAATGAATATGATTCAGGGGCAGTGGGCCCTATCTAAGTGGTCCGCATGTACCAGCTGTACCTAATGATTATGATTCAGGGGCAGTGGGCCGCATGTACCAGCTGTACCTAATGATTATGATTGAGGGGCAGTGGGCCCTATCTTAGTGGTCCGCATGTACCAGCTGTACCTAATGATTATGATTCAGGGGCAGTGGGCCCTATCTTTAGTATTGAAGTATACTGTATAGTAAAATGTGTGGGGTATTGTACCTCGCTATAACGCGCATCGACGGAGGAAATAACGTGAACCAAACAACCGTGTAATGCTAAATGCTTATAGTGAGGTTCAATCTTGTAGTGAATAAGTTACTGCATCTACTTGATGTCATTTTACATTGAAAGTGCTTTGTCGTGAGGAAATATATGCTATTGCTACACAGTACAATAATTATAAGTTAATGATCTATTTATTTTTGATTTTGCATGTACGGTAAATGAGGGGGCGGGACAATTTGTTTCGCGTCATCTTTTCAAGTTTGCAGATCCCATTCCACATTTAATGACCTTTTGTAATATGTTAAAATGGTGCTTCTAGCATATTCGCAAACACAAGAATAAGCAATTTAATTTTAATTTTTGGTGCGCCCATTAAAATCGAATATTCAAATTTTGGTGGCGGAATCCTCGAATTAGTAGTTACAGTGTACCATTACCATTCGAAGATTTTTTAAAAGTACCAGGTCTCAATTATGAAACACTGCTATGTTATAACTTTAATCTTTATGTGACCCATCACCCAACGTATGCATACTGAATTTTTGATGAATTGTTATGTCTTATGTGTTTTCATTTTGTTTCAATTGTCCATCATTCCATTTAACTCTAAGGTCAACTTGAACTATCAATTATTTAACGCACGAAAAAATTAACCATTTATGTTTGCAATAGTGGTTCCATTTTTAAACTCTTTCGAATAATATGGTTTCAGAAAAAGGAGCCCAGATCCAAGTAAAGGATTTGCAGAACAAGTTACCGTTTCAACATTTGTCAGACTATTCAGAATGGCTATCAAGTAAGCGTCTTTACCTTGCTGGATAATATACTGAGAGGACGAAACGGCTGAAGCAAAAAAGTTAAACGATTTTATTTATGTTGGCATACAATGTTTGAAAATATTGAACGCTGAAAAACAGCTGCACACAATTTCTACTCGGCACATAAGGAACGTAAAGCAAATATTTGATTTCGATAATTTGGCTCCAAGTTTAGATGAAATTAACAAATGACAGGTAGTACTAGTAGTACAGTGTCTTTCATTTTTCTACTCAGGATCCATGTTAGACGATACATCAGAGAGTCTACTGAAGCAATGTAGCCTACACGCAGAACGAAACTTAGTTAAAAACATTTCTCAAAAGCTCAAAGGAAACTCTATTGACAAATCTGGTCCGTGTTGAATTTTGAAATATTTATACAGTTTTATGTACATATTTTCCTTTTACCGTTGCGGTAATAAAATACTTTAACATATGGACCGTATTATATATAACTAAAGTGGTATATTTTATACACTTGAAAGGAGGATAAAAACTGCTCATGCAGGTACCTATAGATGACTTTAATTTAGTAATACTAGCTAGATGGATTAGTAATACTAGCTGAGGGTTGATAATGTCAGCATGAAATGAAACATTATTGTTGATTTTGTGATAGCTTTGTAGTTGAATTATGGATAACAATTTTATGATTTTATTTCAATATTCTATTACAGTTTTATGATTCATTTTTTCATGCAACAATTTGATCTCCGGTACAATTCAAGTTTTCTACATGTTCAACAATTTTAAATAAATGGAGGAAACAATGAAACAACCGTACGAAGAAAAAGTTTATATCAAACTGCAAACATAAATAAGGTGTGATACCTTAAAAGAAATATTTATGTTCGACATAATTCTGGTGACCTAAATGATTTGGGAACGAAAATAAGGGGATTTTTTCCGAAAACTGCCAAATTTAGTACCCAAATTAAATCATGGTATTTCAATTTGGGGATTTTTTCATCTCCTTATTTTACAAAAAAAATCCTAGTATTTGAGAACATTAAATACAAAGATCTTCTCTGATCAGCTGTTTCATCTTGTAAACAGTTTTTCCGGAGCCTTTGAAAGTTAGCCTCAACTTAACTACTAATCCTCCAGACGGTATAGGAGACCGAAGGTCAATATAGTAACGACACTGACAGAGCTTGCTTACTTTCAATGGAACGTGTCCAAATTCTTTTTTAAACCAATTCATGATCGAATACTAGTGTTCATTTGTTTGATGGACCATATTTATAACTTACTATATTGATAGTAAATCGATAAATGCACCACTGGGCCACGCCGAGCTGCGAAGAATTGACATTGTCAATCAAGGGTTTTAGCATATGCTTCAGTTAGGGATTGGGTTAGGGTTATTCAGAGCTACCTAAGGATCGGGTTAAAAAATTCACGCGACAGTCGAGAGTAGACTTAGAGTGATTAATCATCATCCAAAATGTTTGGGCATCCGCATATCGGTATCCAATCATCAGACATTATGTTACAGCTCAAAGCAACGTCTTTTGCCCCATTTTTATCACTATATCATAATCAACTCCGATATCCACCAAGTTTTTCGGAAAGTTTTTAAAGTCCGATAGGAAGGTCCTTACGAATTTTCAGAATGATCCCATTCCAGGAACCGAAGACATGACGGAATTATACGACGAAGATCAATGAATTTCGTCAAATTACGCGACTTTTACACTTACTGAAGCTCCTAAACCCGCTCGTCATTAAATATGGCACCTAGGCGAAAATCACTTATCATTCCAAAAAGGTATTACAAATTTGGTATCGTGAAAAAGCTCACATTCTCAAGAAAACAATGGTACAAAAATGTTGAAAATCCGAGCAAGTTTAATTTTATCGTGCACAGCCTACTGTAAAGTTGTAAGGCCATAATAAATATATTATTGTCCAGGTGTCTCCGAATTTTCGAAATAAACTCGTATATTATTATAAATTTGAAAAAATATTTTCGTGGGTTTCATATGCCAAAACATCTTTATGAATTTTAGTGAAATGCTACGTGGTTTCGGTAAATGAAACACAATTTTAACAAGAGCTTACTCGTTTTTTACAGTTTACACATATGAATAATCATGACATATACATTATACTATATATACGGGAGGGGGGGGGGGGGGGTGACTTACTATCACCACTCATTTGAGTATTTATGTTAAATCAAAGAATATTGAATATTCATGTTAATTTTTTTCGAATAAAGGTTCATTGTCGCATTTATTTGATGGTTCTGATAATCATATTTCAGACCTGTAACTTAATGCAAATGGTATACTGTAACTACTCATTCGAGGATTCTGTTGCATTGTTTTTTTTTTTTTTTTTTTTTTTTTTTTGAGAGGCTGGGCCATGATAGCCCACGAGAGGATAGCATTGAGATGCTCTGCCTACCTCTGGGGTGTGGCAACCTTGGGGAAGGTTGCCGGTGAGATCAGAGTGATTGATGGAGGGTGGTGTAGGATGTTATATGAGTCAAAATGATACGCTTAAATGCCAGCTGGGTTTGGAAGAGTAAAACGAGACGAGACAGCATATGAGATAATACTTTAAGTCACCCCGGTCTGATCCAGCTCTTCCGGCACAATTAAGCGTTTGGTGCGGTTTGTGAAATTGACAATTGTGGTGATGTGTTGGTTGTCGAATATGTCATTGACAGAGAGGTAGTAGTCCTGGAAATATTGACCTCTAATTTGGGCAATAGCCGGACACTGTCCAAGGAAGTGTGAGACAGTTTCCTCTCCGTCCCCGCACATAGGACAAGCACTGGTGTTTGATTTGCAAATGGTGTGAAGGTGTTTATTTAGGCCGCAGTGACCCTGTTGCATTGTTTATAACTTCATTTTAACATCAAATGAGGAATATTACCTGAACAAATGACGCGAAGTTATCGAGCAATTTGTTTATTTATTATTGCTTCGGATCTAATGTCAACCCAATCACCTAATACATACCACGTAAAGAATAAACTCTTAATTATGCTTAATATCTCATAATTATGCTTGATATCTCGGTCACCTGCAGAGTAGCTAATGCTCCATTTTTCAGGACAAGCAAATTTGAAAATGCCAAACATAATCAATTATAATTTGACTTGACCCAATCATTCAAAATATCAAAAAAGTGCGAAAAATGAACGTTCATTCGGAAAAATGTACATTATTATTTGTGTATATTCCTTGAATGAGTGATAATAGGATGTCATACCAGAAAGAATTATTCCAATCAGGCACTCGGTGACTGAGAAATACACCCCAAAGTATGTGTACTGACTTTTGCCCCCCCCCCCCCCACCACCCTGTACATTTGAAAACAGAAGCAAGACACTTGAGTCAAATTTTTAGCCTTTATGTTTTGTGTTGTCACTTAGCATTAATTCTTATTCAGTAGTCTGTTCTTCTTCCGTGATTTTAATCATCACAAAGTTATTCTTTTTCTGCTGATCATTGAATTGAACTTTTCTGCACAGTTTTTTTGACTTACTGTCCTTATTCTGATGACCACACACGGAGACAGATGTTTGTCTATTAATGTACATCCGTTTATTTTTTAACTCACAGGAAAGACTTTTTTCCTCTGAAGTTAAATTGAATGATTCTCCCTCGGAGAAAACGTGAGAAGATGATGCTTCGCCAACTCCAAGAAAGTTTGGACAGAGTGTTTTCCTTGTGTCCACCGGAGCAACATGATGATTTCTGAAGTATTTCTGAAGCAGATTACGTCTAAAACTCGGGGCTGCCAACTCTGATTGTGAAGTACATTGTAACGAAGCTCTTCTCTCCATAACCGTTACCACCTGTCATTCGATTAATTTTAATCACATTTAAAACATCTCGAATAATGGTTAAGTTAATTTACCAACATTAGAGACTGTTAAGTTTAACAAGAAATCAACCAATTAATACCTCAAACTTCTTGCGGCGAGTGCCGTTATCAGACATGGAACGAAAAGGTGTTCGAGGTTTTTTGTTACTATAATTCATTGCTTTCAAGCTGCCTGGCGATCTTTCCAATGATGATATTGTTATCCCGACACCACTGTTCTTCTTTTTCTTTATGTTCTTAAATAACCTGTCGATGAGCTTTGTGGAGTATATGGGATGCTTTAATACTATTGTTTTCAGCGATAGTAACCGAGTTTCTATTCTATTTTTTTTAAAGCAAGCTGGGGTTCAGTGTTATAAAGGCTTAAAGGGCAGTAAATATGTATACTATAACCTGTAGTGTATATGTATAGACTATAGCTGTGTATATGTATCAATGCTTTTCATAAAAACAAGTGAAAACGAATCTTTTATGTCATGTATCCTGGGTTTGGACAGGATATGCCCGCAGGTATACTATAACCTGTAGTGTATATGTATATTGTATAGCTGTGTATATGTATAGCTGTTTATACTATAACCTGTAGTGTATATCTGTGTATAATGTATATGTATAGCTGTGTATATGTATAGCTGTGTATATGTATAGCTGTGTATACTATAACCTGTAGTGTATATGTATAGCTGTGTATATGTATACTGTATAGCTGTGTATATGTATAGCTGTGTACATGTATAGCTGTGTATATACATAGCTGTGTATATAATGTATAGATGTGTATATGTATAGATGATTACCTGTATAGTGTATATGTATAGCTGTGTATATGTATAGATGTGTATATGCATATTGTATAGCTGATTACCTGTAGTGGTACAGGATAGGGTTTAGAGCTGAGTTAAGAAACACCAGGAATCCGTGAGATAACATCATTAGGATGTTATGTTCACCTTGGGACAGCTGAAAGGCTCCAGGAGCTTTACTTACCCATCCAGCCTTGGGAATAGCGTTAGTCATGAGTTTGTCAATTAAATACAGCTATTAGCTGTTACTACGCTTGCCAGAAAAAAGAATAAGAAATAAGAAACCATGGTAACACTAGACGCTAACAGGTCAGAGTATTCTAAACTTAATAAGTTAGTCAAGAAAAGCAGCAAGCTAGACGACAATAACTGGGCAGTTAGAGTAGCTACTGATCTTGAGGAAGCTGCGAGCAAAGGTCAGCAGCGTGAGGTATGGGCAAAGATCAAGAAGATCTCTGGTAAGAACAAGAAGCCTCAAGCATCCTGTGTCCGGGACAAGGACGGTAGGAAGATCACGGATCCCCAACAGCAGAGGGATAGGTGGAAGGAGCACTTTACTGAACTTCTGAACCCTCCATTATCAAGTGTCGACCTTGCCGACCTTGATACAGTACCACCCCAACCCCACTTTGACTCTCTCTCTTGTTCGGATGGACCACCCACCAGAGACGAGATTAGTTATTCCCTGACAAAGCTTAAGAACAACAAAAGCCCAGGAGTGGACGGGATAACTAACGAGCAACTGAAGTATGGTGCGAGTGCTCTAGTTGATCAACTAGAGTCTCTATTCAAGAAAGTGTGGGAAGAAGAGACTGTTCCTGAAGATTGGTTAAAGGGTGTGATCATTGTTATTGGGAAGAAAGGAGACACTTCAGTCTGCGGGAACAACAGAGGGATCACCTTAAGCCTTAAGGTCTACAGCATCCAAGCTTTTTCAGATGATTCTTCTTAAGCAGTTACATGCTGGTATGGAGTGTCTTCTCAGGGAGAATCAGTGCGGATTTAGACAGAACCGCTCATGTATTGATCAGATTTATTCTCTCCGAACTATTATTCATAACTGTCTTGAGTTTAAC